ATAAATCCGCGCCGCCCTTAGGACTTACACGCTCCAAATTCCGTGTCAAAATAACTTTCCTCATGAAGTGCCGAGTGGAAAGTTGTTGGCGTCGCGGAGTTGGAAAGATGTAAGCTTAGCATCACATTAGCCCTTTCCACACTCAGACCTCTCGCTCACACACTCTCTCCCTCTAACACACACTCCCCCTCCCCCCCCTCTCTCTCTCTCTGCACATTCGCCACTCTTCGCGCTGCACGCGGGCCGGACGACACTGCCCAGCGCGTACAGAAAAAAAAAAAACAACAAAAAACACGCGGGCCGAAGTCGTCAATTTGCATATCGATTTGGCCGTCACGGCCGTTCATTACTGCAGCGTCGAAACGTGATTTAATTTGCGGTCGAAGTGGCGCCCCGGACTTGTCTTGAACCAAGCAGGTACGGTTCCAGGGGGGAGGCCGTGAGGGCGTCGCTGCTCCTCAACAAGCCGCCTGGAAGGTAGGCAACCTCCTGAACGAGCTGCCTGGAGGGTAGACAACCTCCTGAACAGACCGCCTGGAGGGTAGACAACAAGTTACTCTTTGTAGGTAGGCAACTTTGGGCCTGTGACATCCTAGAGACTGCTTTTGCCTCGTGGTGCGACGGGGGCGAGGGCGAAAACCACTGCATACAACGACCCCTTGGTCCTTGCCGTCCTTGCTCACAGCCCACATTGACCTTCTTGAGGGCCCAGGGCCCAGGGCCGCCCAGGACCCAGGCCGAGGCTCAGGCCCAGCCAGGTGGCGTCGTGGGTCCTTTCCAGCCCTTTCGTGGTGTCAATTGCCACAGGGATTAACGGGCCAAGGGAGCACGGCCCTCAAGAGGGTTCGGGTGAGGTTGCTCCCCTTAAACACCTGCTTGCGCGCCTGCTTGCAAGTCTGCTTGCAAGTCTGATTGCACGTCTAATTGCAACCTGCTCACGCGTGCCTGCGCCTGCTAGCACATGACAACGGCGTTGGTGGACTCTCTGGCGACCCTGTTGGTGCTTGGAAGGGCATGCCACTGCTGGCCGGGGTGCACGGGGTCGAGAGGGGGAAAGTGGTCTCGCATCGATAAATTTACCGCAGCCCAACAGGGGAATACAACACTGGCAAGTTGAAACGCTGCAAATATTGCAATCACACTAAGTGTTCTGTATGTATGTTATGTCTGTGTCTGTAACATAATGCGTGGGAATGTTTCCAGATGGTAACGGAAAATTGTGATTGACATTTAGTGTGTTCCTGTGAAGAAAGGGATCAAATTGATGATTACTCAAAGCAGAAAAACTTCCTCAGGGCAGTAAGAAAGGGACGACCTTCACAAGGGCGAGGCTCGAAAGTCTCTGGTACCGTCTGCTGGAAATTTCCGACCTATAGATTACGGAGGCTTTGCATGGCATCCAAGCGGACGTTCCATTTGATAAGAATGATTTAGTTTGTTGACTGGACAGAAGTTGAATCTCCTCGGCGCTTTCCAGCGAGTGGACAAAAGCGCCACCATCAGCCCGGCGCGGATCTAGCAGATGGGGCAGCGCGGGGCCAAGGCGGGGCTGGGGCCGGGCCGGGGCCCCGGACTTGCCGGGACTCGCCCGGACTTGGCCGGGCGGGGGCGTCGCCATGTCTGTCATTTAAATTTAAATAGAGGCGCCGCTGCGACGCGCTGAGCCCCACCCAACCAAGATTCCTTCCAGCAGACTGGGGGTCCTTTTCGTCGCTCTGTCTCTCTCGCACCCGCAAGCGCCCCGTGTAGGTGCGAGAGAGACAGAGCGACGAAAAAGACTCCGCTGGCCGAAAAGGCGGCCGGTGGCAGCGAGCAGGGCGTCGCGGCGTCGCTGCACAGCAGATAGCAGCGTCGCTAGTTTCGCAGTTCCACCCATTCAGCAACAAGTCTAATTAGATGCAACGCGCAGTCGCAAAACAGCGCCAAATTTTTAATTCACGCCGTTGCCAAAATGGGCCGGGGCCTCTAACGGGGGAGTGTTCTGGCGGGGAAGTACACTATTGAGGGTACCTCCGTCCTGCCTCCGCTGGGCTGCCTCGGCTGGGCTGCCACGGCGAGGCACTCCAGAGAGTCCTTCAGGATCCCCTCGGCCAGTTCCAGCGGCTCCGTGCTAGTTAGGCGGCACCGCGCGGCACCGCCACGGCCCGACCCAAAGCTGCCCCCGCCAAGGAAGGCACCGACCGACACCTCAAACGGACCATCGCCATCCCTGTCCCTCATCGGCGGCTGCAGCCAGAGGCAGCCAGCCTCCAGCAAGGAGTGCGAGAGAGACGGCGGCCTTCGGAATCAGGTGCCAGGTAGCTAGGTCGGCCGCCATGACCTGCTCGCGCGCGCCAAACTTTGAAGCCTCCTTGAAGTTGCCGAACCGCCCCCACCCCTTCCCTCGGGCCTAGGACAACAGTCAGCCCTCCGGGCCCTTCGGCCTAATGCGCTAACTCCGAGCGATGTGTGGAGAGAGCTCCATTTGGGTTTCGGGTTCGGCCCGCCCAGGCCCGCCCAGGCAGGCCCAGGGGACACCTCACCAAGTGCGCAGTCCGCCACAGCAGCCCGCTGCCCCGCGCCGCCAGGGTCGAGAAAATGACTTGTTCGGCTACACACCGCAAGTTCGCACGCTTCCTTTTTTTGTGGAGGGCAAAAAAAGTTTGGCCAATGTCTTGTGAATGTGGATGAGATGGGTGATGGAGAGCTCGCGAAAGGACGTGGCGAGGTGTAGATGAAAGAAGGATATGGCGTGTGAGTGTGTGTGTGTGTGTGTGAGAGAGAGAGAGAGAGAGAGAGAGAGAGAGAGAGAGAGAGAGAGAGAGAGAGAGAGAGAGAGAGAGAGAACGACACGGCCACCGAGGAGGAAATAATCTCGGGCGACATTGCTCGTGAAGCATGTCGTCGGCTGAGCAGCGGGCGGCCGCGAAAAGACGACGCCGTAACCATGGCCACGGGGCAACCGAAAAAAAAAACATCAACAACAACATCGCAACTAAAGAGCCCTGCCAGAGCAAATAGGCGTTTCTTTTTTTCCGTCGTACTGCCGCGCTGTCGAGTGGGGAGTCGTGGCCCGTCGGGGGCCGTGGGGGGCCGTGGGGGGGCCGTGGGGGGGCCTTGGCTCCGGCTTGCGTCCGCAGCGTCGTCAGATGCTAGCGGCCGTATCGTGCCGGGGATCGGGGGCAGGGAGGGGGCTATCTCGCCGATCTGAGCCTGCTGCAGCCTTCAGCGTCAGGCCATGTGCTGAGGCAGCGTCACCGCGAACCCCTAACCCCCCAGCCAGCCGCGGCAGCCGCGGCCCCGGCCCAACAACTCTGCCTGTCCCCACAACACCCGTCCCTAAAGACCCCCCGTCACCCAGGACGCCCCCAAGACCCCCGCACCATCCCAAGATACCCCCGTCCGCCAAGGCGTGCGAGGGCCCCCGCACACACACACACACACACACCGCCCCCAAAGACCCCCTCCCTCCTCCGTTCCCACAAGCCCCGTCCCCCGGAAATACCTCCCTCCACGATCCCTTAGCGACCTCCCTTCCCCCTTCCCCCTCGATTCGTCTTATTGCCCGCCGACCGCATTAGAATGACATGCAACACGTCATGCAAAGATGAAAAATCTGTTTTTTGCGGTGACGGCGGCGACGACGGCGGACACAAAAAGGGGGCGCGTCGAGACGTGAGGACCGCAGCGCGCCGCGCCGAGGCGTTGCTCTTGTTATTTTTCCAGCCCCTTTTCAGTCCTTTCCCATTTATTTCATTTTCTGACTGATGAGTTTCTATTCCGATGATGCCGGAGACGGACAGATGGTCACTCTGCAGACGGCAGGGCAAGCCTCGGAAGCAGGGAATTTAATGTCTGTCATCGCGTGGACGGAGAGCAATTGCACATCAATCGTTTTTTCCGCGTTGAATCAGTTTCAGATGTCAAATGTCGACGAGGCGGCACGGCAAAAACGGAACCTGGTTTTCCCAGGAAGCCTAATGGTAGAGACATAGGCGATTCCCAGGGAGTTCCCGGTAAAACCACAACCGTTTTTACCATGTGCTACTGCAATGGCAAGGTCAACCCTTTGACGCCTTTTTCTACTTTTCCAATAATTTTTTTTTCGTATTCAATTTCAGCGCATGCACGTATGCATTGCGGGTCGTGCTGGGAGGCACTATGTTAGGGACACCAGGTTGGCGCGAGTGTCAGCCCCGCGTTCGAGCCGAGCGGAGAGGACGCCAGGGCCGAGCCGAGCCAAGCTGAGCCGAGCTGAGTCACACCGAGCAGCCGGGCAGGGCCACGCTGGGCCGAGCCACACTGAACAGGGCACCGCCGAGGAAGGCACGGTGAGATACAGGCCACGATATATGGGCGTACTCGGCACGAGCCCCATGCAAGGGCTCTCTCTCTCTTCCCCTTCCCCCTCTCTCTCCCCCCTCTCTCATTGCCGCTTAGCAGGCCGCCTCGCAGAGCGCCACAAAAAATGACTCCATTCCAATCATATTTGCGTGCACCGCAAAATTCCCCGGCCAGCAGTGACGCAACGCTCCAAATTCCGGGCGGCGAAATACTTCAACTTTTCCTCGTCCGTCCCTGCTGCCTCTTTTCTGTCCGCCCTCCGGCCAGCACCCCTTTTACAACCCACCGAACTGGGCCGTGTCCATCTTGGTTCGGCTGGTGTATCAACAAAGTATCACGGATAACGCGCCATGCTGGGGGCGCTGGGGGCGGGGCGGGGTCCATGTGTTGGGGCGAAGGGGGTGGGCGAAACTGCGTTGGAGTTTTATGTTGATTGCGTCCTGGAGCCTTGCGGTCGGCACGTCCTCAAACCCTCCAGCCCCCTCCAGGCCTTCCAGCCGAATACCAGGCCTGGAATGTGCGCGCGTCATTCGCTGCTCAAACAAGAAAAACAGTGTCGCTTCCAGATTTGCCGCATGGCCGTTTCAGCCAGCGCCGCACAGATTCAAAAACGCGTTCGTGCGTTCGCAAACTGGCTAAAGGTCTGTTGAAACCCAACAGCGCTGATGATAGCTCACCTTGGTGTAGACGCCGGCGCTGCTCAGCTCGTTCTCGATGACCATGATGATGATGCCGAACATGCCCATGACCAGAGCGTAGTCACTGATCCTCTTCCGTTTTTCAAACAACGCCTTCCGCCGCCCCAGCCGGTACCCCACGTTGGGCTTGTGCTTGCCGCCGCTCTCTGCTCCTGGAACCAAGAGGGTTCCCACCTCAGGCACCGTCGAGCAGGCCAGCCATTCTACACTCGACACTGTTAAAAAAAAATCTTACTCGACGACAACCAACAATAGTCTACTAGTAAATGAAGGAAAAAGAAAACGTCAAGAATTAGTTTGTGCTGGAGATAAGAAAGCTGAAATGCATAAAGCCTCTCGCGTCACAAGGGCCCTCCTTTCAGCCCATTTGAATTAACATCCCCAGATTCCCCGGTGACAAAACAGCAACAGCATTCCGTGCGCTTTTTAATTCATTCAGATAGTCCGCGGGCCGTCCACCACGATCCATCTTCTTTTAGACAAACAAAAAAAGGGCAGATAAACCTCTTGCCAAGATAAGACACGGCATAATGGCTCAAACGCCACCCGGGCCAACACAATTTTCTCTTATTCGAGGACAAGAGACGCCGAAAAATAGGTCCCGCTCGTCACTGTCCTTCCTCTTTCCTCCGTCTCCCCCCTCCCCTCCCCCAACCCCTTGTCCATCTCGCCTCCCAGCTGACCTGCAACCCTTTTCCCTCCCCGCCTCTGCGTCTTCGCCCCCTCCCCCCACAACACACACACTCCATAAGAGTGCGCTTCAGGCCCTGTGGTGCTCATATCATTCATGGCGCTCCTGACCCCTCCAGGCCCCGAGGGGGCCATCCCCCGCATCGCGCCCCTTCCATGTCCATCACAGCCTTGGCCATAGGCACCATAGGCCGACTAGGCGCCCCCCTTTCATCTCTACAACAGTCAAGAGATTAGAGCACTCGAGCAACACTCGCTCAAGAGTGTCCTGCAAACTGTGGAGCCCCGGCCGTCCGTGCTTCTGAGGTGGGCGCCGGTGACTTTAAAGTGAAGGTCAGCAGCAGACCTGTTTGGGCACCCTTAGCTCGACCGCCCTAGAGTATTTACGGAATCAAAATGCATATGGTGATGTCAATGGCTTGTTTTTCAGGTGAGGAACCCTTCGGTACCATCATGTGTTTGGTTTTGGTTAGGGTTCTACGGGGCTAAGGACGTTTTGACCGGCAGCCAGGAACCTCGGGGGAAACTCATGTAACGGTACTCGTTCACAGGCTTGTACCAATGTGTAAAAAAGGCACCACTCTATTTTTAGATGTCAATTGTCCAAAAGTACGAGTTAATTACGACACATAAGCAACTTTAACTACATGTTTCCGGTCAGCATAGTCGATCCTGGCTTCCGGTCGAGACCTTCTCCGGAATACCCCATTGGAAGACGACAGAGCTCATAAAGTGACTGGAGTTTCGTATCCTGAATCAAGTTTCTTCACTTCTGGCGAGAACCACAGTTCGGCCGCTGTTCGCGCAGCTGGCGACGAGAAGGGTGCTACTCACCCGTAGAGCCGAGAGAACCCTGCATCTTGATGAGCCCTCCTCCTAGGCTTCGCTCCTCCGTGTAGCGAGGGTAGTCCGAGTGGACCCCCACCAGCGCCAGCCCCGCCTCCCCTTCGCCCTCCTTCATGGCGCCGGGGATGGACAGTGTCGACACCGGTTTGCGGAGCTGCAACAAAACAACAACAAAGATAACAACAAAGCACAATGCGGCTTTTCAACAAAGATAGGGGCGCATGCGTGGCAGGGTCGCCAACTACGATTAGGCGCCAACTTGAGAATGGCGGTGAAAAACGGGGCAACGTGACGGCAGCACTTTGTCGCACACGAGCCGCTCCTCCCCACGAGATTCGTCATTACAATTAGGCCAAGAGCAACAATGGAAAAATAAACGACTGTCGTCGCCATTTTTTTTTCCGGCAGTCTGCCATTCCATCTGACAAACTGAGGAAACGCAAGCAAGACGACACCGTTTCCAAAACAAAGGCGGCAGGCTTATTGTGTCAGCTGTACACACAGCAATGCTAAAGTCGCGCCAAAAAGAACAAATTGTTTGCAGAGCGCTGCAGCGGGACACACCTTAGGGGACACAGGCGGCCGAGAGCTGTGGCACTCAGCTTCGTCCCGGGTTCAACTAAAAAGCTAGTATTTTCGCCCCAAACTCACTTGCAACGAACTTGCGAGTACAAAATGTACTGGTTGCACTGAGAAAACCGCACAAACTATTTTAGGACTTACAAAGAAAAGTAGCTTATTATGACAAAATATATTGAGCATACATAAGCGTATTAAGAAAATACTTCGTAATTTACGAACTATTTCTTCGTATAACAAAGTAAATTAGTTTGTACTATATATGCTCAAAATACTTCGTAAGGTTTCAAGCACGTGGTCGATACTTCGAGAACGATAACCGATGAAGGCTCGCAGTCGGCGTAAAGCGAGACCTATATCAGCGATGACGCCAGTCTAGGCGTAACATTTACGCGTTCCGAGATGGAAACCTCATAAATGTTGAGTTCGTTACGACCGACGCGTTCGCACTCAAAGGGAGCGGCATTTCGACTGCTGTTGGCTCATTCCGAGAGCCGTCTTCGTCGCTCTGTCTCTCGCACACTCATGGGGCGTCCCTGATTGGTGCGAGAGAGACAGAACGACGACGCTCGGAGTCAGTGTGCGGCGCAGGGCAGCCTGCTATTATCACACCCATAGATGGGCCCTCCTGGGCCTTCCAGGGGAACAAAAGAGCATTATTGGCACAAGCCAGGAGAGCACCCTCCCAAACTCTATTCCCCTTGGGATTGAAAGCGAAAGGAAGCAATTTAATCACGCCGAGTTGGCTCTCGAGTCAGACATCGCGATAAGCGTCAATGATTCACGCTGGATTCTGCGTCAATTTCTGCGAAGCAATTCTAACACGCCACCATTTTCTTCGTTGTTACGAAACAGATGCGTCATAGGTTTTTAAGAAAGTATGTGCTCAAAAATAAGCAACTTTCTTTTGGGAGGTCTGAAATGGTTTGTATGGTTTTCAGAGTGCTGCAGTGGGCTGCATGCGAGTCAGTTGCAGCGGAGGCAAAGGAAACAAACATTCCGGAAAGATGAAAGGAAATCCCGACGGAGGAACCCCCTCTCTGGGATCTCATCACTGCGCTGCAGTCCGTATATATGTTTTGTTATTTGGCAGTCCAAATCACATGCCCTGGTATAAATAATCTTACGACCCGAATCAGCAACGAGGGACTCGGCGGCCAATCCGGAAAGGACCCCGGGGCGGCAAGTGGAAGGGTGGGGGTGGACAGGGTGGCCTCAAGTCAAGTCTAAGTCCAACTCCAGCGCACGCCCCACCACACCCCGCCCCGCCCCGCCCCAACCCAGCGACAATAAAAGATATTGACGAGACCCCCGCGGACCCGAGGAATAGCTGGGGACTCCACTTTGGCCCCACGGCCACCACCACGTCGGTCCAGGAAAGGGCGGAACGAGCCTGGAGAGAGAGAGAGAGAGAGAGAGAGAGAGAGAGAGAGAGAGAGAGAGAGGAGAGAGAGAGAGAGAGAGAGAGAGAGAGAGAGAGAGAGAGAGAGAGAGAGAGAGGCAGGCCCAGAGACCGATAGAGAGATATGAAGCCGCACCATGTTGACAGTCGCATACTTATTGCGGTTCCGGTCAATGAGGCGTGAGAATTATGGTCAACATGGATTGAGGACGGCGGCCGAGTCATGGGAGAGGGAGAGAAAAATCCGAATAAAGCGGCAACCGGATATCTGGGCTTGTGTGTGTTCGTGTGTGTGCCGGATAATCGTGCCCCGGTATCTGGTGGCGGCACGGTTTATTGCAAAAGACGACCGGGCCAACAAGACGCGGGCCAATCCGAAAACCGTTTACGGCACCGACACGTACGAGTCTCAAAGCGATTTCTCAGACACAACGGCGACGCCAATAAAAGTGACTCGGCGGCCCTTTTCGGTGGGAGGCGGGCGCACGCGCGTGCGAGTGAAAAAACGCGGCGGGGTGACGTAAAAACGATAAGAGGGCGAAAGGCGTGGGGGACAGGGAAGGAACGAGCCGCCGTGGCGCGCCAGGTGTGGACAGCCCGGCCCGGCCCGGCCCGTCGCAGACGTGAGTTTAGGGAAGTGCTTTGGGGATCGACGGAGAGGGATCCGTGTGCGCCGATAGGAGGAAAGGGGGGGGGGGGGGGGGCTCTGCAGACGTGTATACGAATAGGGGTTGGACGGGCGGGCCTACGTTCCGTAGGCGAGGCCGTGCCGGCCGTGCCGGGCGTGCCGCCAGCCCGGTCCAGTACCGCATACCATTTTTCGGCCGAACAAAGTGAAGTGAAAAGTGGGCGGAGAGGGGGGGGGAGGGGGGAGGCCGAGGCAACTCTCGTCTCGGGAGGTGTAGGGGAGGGGGTTACTGCCGAGCCACTACTACCACTCTGGCTAAGGAAGCCCCGGAATGGGTCCCCGTGTAGGGCAGCCTGCTCCGCCAGTGCTCCGCCAGTGCTCCGCCCGCTTGGCGGCCGACGAGACAAAGCGCCAGCCGGACAGACAGACAGCCCGGCGCCCTGCAGACGGGCTGCCGACGACACCGCAATGCGGACGGCAATCACGTGCCGTGTCAATACAAAACGGCGCCGAAAAAAACAACAAAAACAAAAAAAATATTCCACGTCGACGCGACTTTTTGCTGTCGTCCTTCGTAATGACCTGCAAGAGGGCGTCGCGGCGCCAAGGCCGCCGAGGCCGTCAAGGCCACTGGGCCCTTCATCAAGGAGGCGCGATTCTACGGTCGGCCGGCCGGCACGGACCGCGCCTCGCCACGCCTCGCCGAGACTTGTGGTAATTTTGCCAACTAGTGTCAAAGTTGGCGCGCTGCCTCCGCATTTCCGGTCCGGACCGGAAGTTGGGTTTAAAAAATTGAAAGAGGAAAATAGGTGGAAAACAAGTTGGGCTCTCTTCCTATAGGGGGCTCGGCCGTGGCGACACCAATCCGTCGACTCGTTCCAAAAGCACGACACTCCGTCCAATTAAACGGCATTTGCCCCCCACATTTGCACACTGCCCCATCCGCAGAACGGCGGCCGCCGCGCCGCGGCATCCTTTAGATCCTTTGTCAACGCAGAATTCAATTTTCGAAGCGAAAGACAGAGGGGGAAACACAAAACAAAAAAAGAGGGGCAAGGGCAGAGAGACTCTCTGCTTCGTCTGCGGCCCTGGTTGGCTGGCAGCCCTGGCTGGCGGCGTGCTCGGCCATGACGCCGTTCGGAGGACCCGCAGAGCCTGGCAGAGCCTGGCAGAGCCGAACACTGCGCTCCAGTCTGCCAGCGAAAGGAGGTAAAAAAGAAGGGGAGAATATGGGGATGAGAATCACCCCGTGTTTTAGCGCGATAGCGTATATTTTACTGCATACTCACACTCACACACAAACACACGCGCGCGCGCACACACCTACACACACACACACACACGCACGCACCAACACACACCAGAAAACCGACACTAGAAACCACACAAGCACCTCTCTTCCTCCCCCCCTCTCTTTCTCTCTCTCACACAGACACAGAGGCACCGACGAGGCACAATGCGGCGAAACTGCTGCAGTGCTAGCCAGTGTCGCAGATAACAGGGGGTTGTCGACATGGCGTCGGAATGACATAACGTGGGCCCGGTCCTCCCCGGCCGGTCCGCCCCGCGGGAATAGTAATGACAAGGAAAAAGCACGGCCAAATCAGCAGGCGGCACGCAGGGCCACGCACAGGTCAAAGCGGGGCTGCTGCGGCAGGAGAGTGCCAGAGAGAGAGAGAGAGAGAGAGAGAGAGAGAGAGAGAGAGTGGGACGGGGTGAGGCGCAGACCAAAACTCAGGCCAGAAAAGCGAAAGGAGACTGAAGAATACAAGCCAGTAAAGCAAGGGAGGGGCAGGGACGGGCAAGGGGACAGCGAAGGAAGGAGAAGAAAAATCGGGACGCGCGAAACTTGTGATCATCTTTTCTACGCTCTGTTCTGTTCCCCTTGCTTCGCGAGCGCAACTTTGCATATTTCTCACCCTCGACCGCATTCATGGTCAGTGTGACGGTCCGGCCAGGCCTTCTACAGTGGGCAAGAAGACCGACGCAGGCGGCCAAAACTCTAGACGCGTTTTGAGCTCTCGAGTCGCTAAACAGGACTCGAACCACACGCATGACCCCACCGATGGACTCCTGGTTCGGAGAACCATCTATTGGTAGGGTCACACGTGTGGTTCAAGTCCCATTTAGCGACTCTGGAGCTCGAAACCCGTCCGGGATTTTGGCCGCCTCCACCGGTCTCCTGGCCCACTGTGCCCCGGCCGCCTCGGCCTCGCGCCTCGCCGCCCTGCCACGGCAGTGCCACGGCAGTGCCACGCGGATTCCCAGGGGCTGTGTTGGACTCACAAATACCGGCTCGGGAATAACAAGATCGAAGAGGGAGCCAGTGGCGCGGCACAAAGTGCATTGTCCTCGAGGTGGGGGGGCCTGCCCCGTACTTCGCTCTGCCTCTCTCGCACCCCTGCAGGTCCTACGGGCCCTGCGGGACGGGTGCGACAGAGACAGAGCGAGCGCATAGTCAGCCTGCAGCCTGGGCCGGCCCAGCCGGGGCCCAGCAGCGTCAAAGGGTCGGTCAAGACGACGACGTCGCGGGGGGTGGGGTGGG